GCAAGTTGAATTTTGGGGATGGGGCGAGGGTACTGGGAATCAAACTGAGGACCTTACACTTATTAGGCAGGTGCTGCGAGAGGGAGCTATCTCCAGACCTCCTCTTTGTGGAATTTTTTGTGTGATGATACCCTCAAAATACTGTAAGAAGAGTTCATTGTTTGTCAATTAAATGGAGAAATGCTTAGGGAATAATGTGCTGGAAAATTTGCCCACACATTTGCCACACCCTCTAACCATACCCTGTCAAGGTCATGTTGCTTGTTTCTTCTTAGAGAAGTTCCATGAGGGATTGGGGTTTTCATCTGTTATTTCCTGCTTGCTGGGTTTTAAAATGTTTTTGTAACAAAGTGCTATAATCATCAGTTTATTTTTCTTTTACTTATAGTAAAATGTGTTAGAAATGATATCTGACTGCTGTGTGGATTCTGGGAGGATGGTGAGAAAGCAGAGGCAGGCAAGGAGGGGACTTAAGGTGAGAAACCCTAACTCTTCTCCCCTCAGAGCGTCAGGGATGCTGCTCTAGGACAGAGCTGGTTTGTTTCCTGCGGAGTCTCTTTGATGCCTTTGCATACTTTTTTTAAAGCTGGCTCCAAGGGAGGAGAGCTGAGAGCTGTGATTCCAAAGATTTCTATTTTATCCTTGCTAGCAGTTATTATTAGTTTGTGGGTTTGGAGACTTAGTCAGTGACTTTTGGTCTATGGGATTACACAAAGGATATCCCAACTCAAAGAAAAAAGATATTTTTGGAAATCGTCATTACTATTCACTACTTTAAGTCATTATCTTTTTCCTGGAGGGTTATGTTAAATTTGTAAGGCAAAATAAATAAACAAAATACCCTTAGTAGAAATAACTATTATATCATTGTGAGATAATAACATAATATGAGGACTGCCTGGTAAGGACATAAGACACAGAATAGACTAATTAAACAATAAGATTATTGTTTAATCTTAAAAATTAAATGTAATTTATAGTAAATTTTACCTCCTTTAGTTTATAGTTTTCCAAATATTGACAAACACATATAGCCATATAACCACTACTACAATCAAGATATGGATCAGTTCTGTAACAGCAAAAAGATTTCTTTATATTGTCCTGGTATAATGTCAGATATTATCTATATCTATGTTAGTCAAACCTTTCCCTAGATCCCAGAAACCATTGATACGTGCTTTGTTCCCACTGGTTTGCTTTTCCAGGCATTCCTACAAATGGGTTATAAAGAATGTATCCTTTTAATTATGACTTTTTATCACTTTGTATAATATATTTGAGATTCATTCATGCTGTTCTGTGTAACACTGGCTTGTTCCTTTCTGTTGCATAGTAGTATGACATTGTAGAGAGGTACTAGGATTAATTTATTCTCTCAGTTAAGGGCCTACTTTAGACTGAGTTGTGTCTCTTTTAGTTCATGTGATGAAACATTATCCTCACAATGTGACTGTTTTTGAATAAGGGCTGTAGGAGGTGATGAAAATCAAATGACTCCATCACTTCTGGCCCTAATCCAATGGTGTTGGGGCTTTTATGAGAAAAGGAAGAAAAATGGGCTGTAGCTCAGAAGCAGAGCACTTGCCTAGCATGGATGATGCCTGGGTTCAGTGCCTAGCACTGAAAAAGCAAAATAAAAATTTCAGTATGAGAAAAGGAAGTGCATCAGTGTTCCCCACCTCAGCACACATACACCAAGGAAAAGTTAACTTGTGCATGTTGCAAGAAATCAGCTGTCTGCAAGACAGGAAGAGAGCTGTCACCAGAAACCAAATTGGCCAGCAGTTTAACCCTGGACTTTGGCCTCCACAACTGTGAGGAAGTAAATTTCTGTTGTTTAGGACACCTAATCTGTGACATTTTGTTAGAGCAGCCCAAGCAGCCAACTGGTTAGGAACAATCTAGCAAGAATTCTAGTCATTCACTATTAGTTACTAATAAGGAAATGTAGTAGTTACGTGGTAAGTGAATCATCCTCTAAATATACTGGCCATGGTGGATGGTTTCCACTCTCTAGTGAGTTAGATAAAAATACACAAGAAAAACTGGGTGCTCCCAGTGGGGATATCAGGGTTTATTTCATTGTAGAGAAAAATTGAAAAACCAGAATGAGACAACAAGGTGACTTAAGTTGACAAGAAAAAAAATGCTTCTAACTGCTCTTAATTATTATTTGGGTAGTTCTTCCTCAAATAAGGTAGCAGTGTAAGTGTGAATTTTCTCCTTTCCACCGGTGAGGAGGAGAGAGGACCTGGTGCCTCTCAGGAGGCCTCTGAGAGTGTGCTTTTTAGACCAAGAGACATCTGAGAAAAGAATCAGCTCCAGGGGTGCTGGTTAATAAGCAGGTTCCTAGCTTTTGGAGACCTCACTTCCCTAACAGATCCTTAACTTTCTCTTGTAAAGCCCTAACAGTTGCTCAGAGATGCTTAACATCTTTATTGCACCATTTGTGCATACCCAGCAAATGGACATATTTAAAATACACCACGAGACTCAGGTCCTGCCTTCCTGAAAGATATACACATACCAACCATAGTGTATTTATACGTAACTATAACACACAGTCTGTGTGTGCAGAGAAAGCCAGGTAAGTTGATATTGCTGAGAAAAATGCATCTGAAGGAAAATGACTGCCTTTCCAGGATTTATGGGTTTCTGTGCATAAAATCCTTTAGTCAAATCCTAGATATCAGGACTGCTAAGTGATACGCATCCTTTTACTCCTCTTAGTGGGATGAACCCCGAAGGGAGAAAGATCCTATGGGTTACCGTGGGGCCTCAGAGGAAGACAGCTAAGCTCAACAATCTGTGATGAGATAGGAAAGTTTCGGTGCTTCTAAATAGTCTGCTTAATAATTTGGGAAGCAGAATGTATCTTTCTGTTGCTCACTCAGCATTTTTGGCAAGTAACTTGGGCACATGGATCTTCTCTGACACTGCCTAAGGCAGCTAGCGCTCTGCTTCTCTGGAGCATGGTGCAAGTGACTGACTGACTGAAATGTGCGCATTCTGCAGTCTACAGTCAGGTGTGTGTGTCCTGTGGATGGAAGCCGCCCTCCTCGGGCATGGAACCTACCAAGTTGAACTAACAAGTTCTCCAGTAGCTATTTGCTGGGGTGTTTGTTATTTTAATCTCTGAGATTTGAATTAGGTCTTAGATCCTTTAGGGTCATACTCTGAAAGTTAAAAAATTTTTTTTTAAAAAATCAAGCTTGTTAAATATATTTCAGTTTAAAAAAGAGCCTATTTAAAATTGAGTGAGAGAGCAAATAGAAGTCAATTAAAAGGAATGCTGTGAATACTTTATTCATGTTTCCATTTCTGCACCTCAAGAAAGTGATGACAAGAGAAAAATGTGGTTTATTGTGACAGTTGTATAAATAGCTTTAGAACTGGGACAATATTTTATGATGATGGTGACGATGACAATAAGGACAACAACAACAAAGAAGACGAAGAGGAAAGAGGGTTGTTGGGTTTTTTGTCCATAATATCTTAAGAATGTCTAATTAGGAAAACATGATCTCCAAATTAAGAAAAAAGAGGGAGGGCATGCAAAGAAGGAAAGAATCTGCGAACTGTGCTTGCATTTCATCAGCCCTCAAATTCATGCAAGAAATGGCACAGATCCCATAAAAGAAGGGTGATGCTGTGAGTTTTTATTGGTGCAGTCAAGTATGTACTGGCCTCCTTCTACCTCTTGAGGAGAGATAATTCTAAGAGACGACTGCTCTTGCTGCGAGGGCATGTCTCCTATTCTGATTACAAACCTTGACACGGCAAGGCTTCCACACCTGTCTTCACCAATTAATGTCTCTCAGTTCTACGCCCAACACTGTCAGCTTCTTGTTCTAAGAAAGGTGATGAAATACAATATCGCTTAGGTGGCTCTTCATATACAAACGCAGTTACATTTGATCAAATTTCACAGAATTGCCAAACAGCTATGGAAAACTCTAAGTAATTGAAACTTACAGATGTATGGAAATGTCAACCATTCACTATCAAAAACATAGCAAATGAATGTTTTTGATACTTTGAGACTCTTGTCTTTCAGGATGGATTCTAAACTGGGCATAGTGGCACGCCTATAATGTCAGTCCTCGGGAGGCTGAGGCGGGAGGATTGTGGCAAGTTAGATGTCAATCTACACTACATAGTGAGTTCAAGGCTAACCTGAACTATATAGTGAGAGCCTGTCTCAAAAACAAAACAAAGCAAAACGCAAATATTTGACATATAGACACACAACACCAAACAAACAAAAAGGTGAATTCCAAATGTTCAATGCTGCATTTAGGGGTTAGACTTAGAGAAAATTCAAAGGCAACATAAGCTTAGTCAGTCAATACGTTTTCTTACATTGTGACTATTCTCATCTACTCCAAAATAGATTTCTCAAGGAAATCTTTACATTTCTTGTATTTGTTTTTGCTTAGGAAATTCTTATTTCCGCTACTTGAAGGAAAAACAAAAAGACATGGGGATTTTCATCTTTACCCTCCACCAAAATTTAGGTCAAGCCTGCCCTTTTAGTACTCAGGGATTAGCACTGGATTAGCACACTTGAAGCCTGTTAATGCAAATTCGTAGACAACATGGAAAAAGTGAGCAGGGTACAATAACAGGTAAAGAATCTGAGATTTAATACTGGATTCCTGAAATGATGAAAATTAAGTTAAAATTATGTACACATACAGATAAGACTCAAAAGAGACATAGGATAAATGAGGTCAAATGATTTATTGAAAAAGGTGAGATCTGAGATGAGTAATTTTTATTTTAAATTTCTAATGCTGTTATTATAATGTTTGCAATAAATAACATTCTTTAAAAAAAAGAATTTGGTGGATTAGTACCCTGAAAACTATAAAATACATCTGAAGGAAATTAAAGAAGCTATAGTCAGTGGAAAGACATCAGTATTCACAGACTGGAATATTGTTAAGATGTCACAGGGGGCTGGGGGTTTAGTTCAGCGGCATAAGCACCTGCCTTGAAAGCAGGCAGTCGTGAGTTCGATCCCCGGTACCGATAAAAAGAAAAAAGACAAAAAAAAAAAAAAAAAGATTTCACTACTACCAAGGCGTTCCATAAATGCAATCAATTTTCCAACAACGCTTTTTTCCCCCAGAAACAGAAATATCTGTTCTGTTTACAAGGAACTGATGGCATTGACTCTGAAGAGTATGGAAAAATCCAGAGTTCCAGGCTGACAGAGGAAACAGTCCAGGGCCCAGGGTCACATCCACACTGGTGGGCCTCTGCCCATATCCCTCAGCATTCACAGTTCCCATATCTTCTCTTCGGGCTTCCAATCACAACTACCCACAATTCGAAGAGTTCCTTTGACCAGCAGAGAGCCTACTTGAGCTCTTGTGGGCCATTCAGGAAGAACCAGAGTTAATACCTCCTCCCAGTGAGGCTCACCCAGTGACTGAGCACAGGTGGGTTAATGCCAATTCCTTCACTCACAAGTATGGTGACTCAGAAAAAATTCAGTTCACTGTTTTCTACTTTACTGTGGTGGGATTGAGCTCCTAGTGCCCTGTTCCACCATACACACACATTTCTTTCTTTCCTCCCCTTTCATTCCTTGCTTTTCCAGTCCAGTACCAGGGCTTTCTGGGCTCATCTTCCCAGTGAACTACTTCCCACCCGTTTGTTGTCTTAGCTTCTGCCTTGGAGGAAACCAACCTAAGAACTGATGAAAAGGACATAGCACACACCTAAATGAAGACAGTGGTGCCTGGCACAGAGCACAGAAAATTTCGGAAGATGGAGTGAAGCCCAGCCAGTGTTGCAGGTAGCATTCCCATCATTCTCAATAACATGATGTATTTTAATCAAAGTATTTCTCTTGCTCTCAACTAGCCAGAGAGCTCTTACTCATCTGTCTATAGACATGCATAGAAAGATGTCTACAATCTTATCTAATGTGAGACCTAATTATGTTAATATAGTATAAACTAAGAGTGTGTTTAACTTTTATATTTGTCTTTATCTACTGTATACATCTTTATAATAAGCATATGTTATTTAAAAAAAAACAGTAGTGTTAATTTTCTCTAGGGAAAATGAGGAGATATTGGTCAAATGTCACAAACCTGCAGTCATAAGATGACTGTGTTCTAGAGATCTAATTTACAGCATGGTGGCTATGCTTCACAGTATATCAGCTATGTTTGAAATTTACTAAGAGAGTGGATCTCAGATATTTTCATCACAGAAAAGGTACCTATGTGAGGTGAAGTATATACCAATTAGCTTGATTATGGCAATTATTTCACAATGTGCACATATATCAAATTATTACATTGTATACTTTGATATGTAAAATATTTTATCAGTTATGCTTCAATAAAGCAGAAAAACAAAAAACAAACAAACAAAAAACACACTGCAAAGACTAGAAACAACTATGGCAAGCGGTGGGCAAGAATACTTTATTGTACATAGTGTGAATATAGTTAACTATGATTTTTATTCTGACTTTTTGCATTTTTAATGAGAAACTATTTTCTCTATTTCTATTAAATCATTATTGTTTTTTAAAGTTAGAAATACATGGTATTGGTGAAATATAACAAAATTGACAAGTTTTAGATGGTATGAGGTAGAGAGAATGCTTTAAAACAGTAACTCAGCAAAATCTTTCAGGGAGATAAATTCACAATATAACCAGAAGCCTTCAAAATCTCTATGCTTTTGATGCAGTATATACTTAGCTTGAGGCACATTTCCCAAAGCTTGCAAACAGTTTCAACTCAGGATCAACTTCATTAGGATCACCTAAGCCCCTCCAAAGACATTTGAATCAATCAATGTCTCTGAAAATCGTGGATTAACAGATTTTCTGATAATTCTTATGTACACCAAAGCTTAAGCCCTACTGGCTTGGGAAGATGAGGAACTCATTCATTAATGTTTATTCCCTACAAACAATCAGGCTCTGTTCCCTGCTCTCAGGACACACCCATAAATAGCACAGAAAAAAATCGTTGTGCTCACAAACTTTCTTTAAAAATTCATTTTATATAAAGAAGCTCATTACAGTGTTGTTTATAATAAAACTAAGAAGTAATGAAAAATTCAATGATCTTTCAAAGAATGACATGGCAAAGTTTTCATTGTGTGTTACCAAATGAAAATAAATATGATTCCTTTTAAAAATACATAAAAATTGATTAAAAAAGACTACAGGGAAATATAAAATTAGTTATTTTAATTGTCTCTGGAAAACATGATTATAGATTATTTCTATTTTCCTTTATGTTCCTTTATGTTCATATTTTCTAAATTCCTGGAAAAAATGAAGTTCTAACATAATCAGAAGAAAATGTAATCTTTAAAAAGATTAATTTAAAACTAATTTTAACATGTTTTAATGCTATATTTACTTTTTAAAACATATTTTAACAATATATGGGCATGGTTACTTACATTTCTGAACTCAACCTTAGAATTTTCTATGCCATTTTGTTACCTGATCACTTTTAACTTCAGGCTTAATTATGTGAACTTCTAAATTCTCTATGAAAGGACAGTTTGAGATTCTTAGTATTTTTCCTTAGATTTTTATTCTTTTTATGGTTTTCAAATATATAGCATAATTTTCATGTAAAAATTTTAGAGAAATACATGCTATAGGATAAAAAGTAGTCATAATTTCAGCTCTACTCTCTTTCTAAGAAAACTACCTTAAAGGATTTGGTTATGTTCTTCCTGATTATTTTTTATATAAGTAATATTTACCATATATCTGTATCATATATATTTATGTTTTATATATGTTGTAGTCAGGGTTTGTAAGGGACTATATTTAATATAGAACACATAATTTATAGGATTATTTTTATAAGTCACCTAAGTAGTCAAATGCAGAAGAGTGCAATAGATCTAGCCATGCACTAGAGACCCAAAGAATCCAGTCGAGGGCCTGGATCCCACAGCCATGTCCTGCATGAGTCCAGGAGAAGACCTAGAGCCCCTCGGCAATGTCGTCCATGAGCCCGATGGAGGCCTAGAGCCCATGACAATGTCTCATGCAGGTCTGTATCAAGGATCTGCACTGGGAAGACCCAAAGGTCAGTGGTGGAAGCTAGAAAGTCTGCATCAGGGATCTGCACTGGAGCCAGGAATTGATGCTCAAGGTAAGGACCAGAGTTCCCCATATGAGAACCATAGCCATTCTAGGTGACAGTGAGGACTCAAGCCCCTATGACAATGAGAACAGCTGAGTTCATATCAGGAAAACCAGTGTAACAACCTTCTCCAGGAGAATCAACAGTATCCCATCTTCTCCAGTCCTGCTTTCATGCTGTTGGCAATAATTCTTAGGTAGGCCCTCCACACCCATAATCACACTGATTCTGTACAGCGGTGTGTAACAAGTTGACCATTAATTCAGCACATACATACATACACATTCAAATATGTATGCAGTTTTATTTACTTTAGTGTTTTATATACCAGTTTGGACCTTGCTATCTCCTTTCACCAAGTATTTGAGATACTTTTCATGTCATCTTACAAAAATCTATTTTGACTTTATAATGACTATACATATTATATTGAATGGGAATACCTTGATTTAGTTTTTAAAATTCCTCTTTGTTAATCATATTTTATCAGCTTATTGCTGATTTGGATATTGCTGGATATTGATTATTGTTAGTTTGGAAGAAGCCTATTGGTTTTGGCATGATTATAGTTATTGCTGACTTTCTGATTGATATTTCTTCTTTTTCCTCACTTATCTTTGTCTTTCATGTTCTTTGATGACAATCAGATCATTTAGAGATCATGATAGTTTTTACTCTTTCTTCTCTATGTGTCTCATTCTATTTTCTTTCATTGTCTTAAGCTTGGCTAAGACCTCCAGAAAAAAGAGTGATAATCACCACCAAGCCTGGCCATCTGCATAATTCAGGTAAAAGTCAATCTTTGGTGTTCTAGATTGTTCGAGAGAACTAAGTTATCTAGCTGGCTTGTACAGCCCTAGTCTGAGTTCTTGTTCTTAAACACCACTTTGCCTTCATTTAAGCTTGTAATATACCCCGCAGATAGACATTTTAGGATATACATTTTTAATTGCAGACAGCAAAGTCAGAATGAGGCGTGTGTGTGTGTGTGTGTGTGTGTGTGTGTGTGTGTGTGTGTTAGGTGGTGGATGCACTATTGCAGGTGATACTAATTTGCAGTTTCCCTTCTCAGGCATAATCCTGTTTTATGTCTACCACTTTCTATGACAGGAGAAAAAAACAAGAATTTAGGAAGTCTTGGGTTTTTCTGTTTTCATATCTGTCTTATCCCTGGATAGCCCTTCTCCCAGTTAGATGATGATGATAATTTAAGAAGGTAGAGATAATTTATCAAATAGCAGAGAGTTTACTTAGATAAGAAATGTCTTACCAGATCTTGATGGCTGAGATAATGTCTCATAAAAACTTTGGTAGAATAACTGATATTAGCCAATCTAGGAAGCTTATTTAAATTGAGCAGGGATGGGGTGACTTTGAAAATGATTTCCACTTGATCTAAAAATCAGGCAGGAAACTGAAATTCTTATGGATTTGAGAGAAAAAAGCAGACTATCTGAGGTCAGCACGATACTGTTAATGCTCCAGTTGGAAAAGTTGGAAAGTTATGCAGTTTTTACTTAGCTTCATCTTGTTCTCTGTAATTGCTTCCTTTCAACCATAAAGTTGTTTAGTGTAAGAGAGATATTCCAAGGCATCTCTTTATATTCACTGCTGCAAGATCCCGTTTTAGCATAATTACAGTCTTGGAGTTGAAGAGACGGCTCACTCTAGCTAGCTCTGCAGCTGGCTTTCTCAGATGACAATAGGAAGCTCACCAGCTTAGCAGCGTCCAAGGCTGTGAGCCAGGGGAGGCCTTCATGCTGAAATTTTGCCCTTGCTTTGTCCCTATTTCCTTCATGAGAATGAGGAAATGATTTAGAATTTTTAAAGAAGGAAATTTTGCTTTTTCTTTGTCTCTTAGGGCATTTAAATTGACATGTGATGCTCCAAATACAGATTTCAGAATCTCAAATCAGAGACTACATCTTTGTGTCTCAAACTGATGCTACTGAGCAAAAACCGAAACGTAATAAAAAAAACAAAGGAAATAAAGAAAAAACAAAAGCACATTGTTCAGTACTTTTATCCTTTCCTTTTCACATAATATACATTTTTCTTTTCATGAGAAGACTAAAGGATGTCTAATTTTTTTGTTTCCTTTGCTTACAAATGATCCCATGTTCAGCTTGACTACTTACTAGACAAATTATTTTTATAAATTGAAATAATGACAGTTTACCCTCAGCTCTTTGTTGCTAAGAGGCTTAGACATATACTCCTACATTAATTTCTTTTTTCTTGTTATTTCTTATACTGATTTCTCAGCTTCTCAAAAACATCAGGGTTCTTCCTTTATTTGACCCTTCTTGTCCAGATATGTTGTTCTGTACCCCTAAGTTCTCTGTTCTTCCTACAAATTCATACAGCCATTCGCTTTATATTTCATATATCAATCATGACCTCAGTTTAGGCCCTAGTAGCTCTTTTCCGAGTTACTACAAAAGTTTCCTAAATGGATCGCACACTTCTGGTCTATCACGGTCTTTTAAGGGTGTCAGATCAGCTTTCTCAGTATCATTTAAGAAGCAACAAACAAAAGACTTAAAAACCATCCATATGTGACAGATGCCGAAAGAAGCCCCTGGAGTACCCACACGAAAGTGCCCAACACAAATAGATGTTCTGCTCTGGTCAAACATAGGATTTTCCTGTCCCCAGACAGGTTTGATGTATTAGTGTTTCTCTGATGGGGTGAGGGCATTTATATTGCCTGTCAGGGAACATTTGAAAAGTTAGGGAACCTTTTTGATTGTCATGACTAGGGTAGGAGAGGGAATTACTGGCATCTTAGTCATTAACAACGAATAGTTATGGCATAAAAATGTCAGTGGTGCCCAATGGACGAACTCTGTACTCACATAATGAATTTCCTTTTGAGTTCAGGGCCTCCCATTTCCATACCAGACCCAGTCTCCAAAACTTGCTTCAATTCCACCTCTCCAAGTCTTCTAAGTCCCCAAGGCTCATTGGTTCTGCAGCACTTGCAGGGGGTATAGCAAAAATCGTTTGAAGATACTGTATTGCTCTGTTTCCCAAAAAACAGTTTATTGTTTGGTGGTGTAAAAATATGTCCACAAATTCTTTAACATCCTCCATCCAAAAGGCAGAGGCTAATTTCCTCTTTAGAGTGAGGACTGTATCTGGTGATTTCTCTCTTAAGCGGGAGATAGTAGAAGTGAAGAGATGCGACCAGGACATAAAAGACATCCTGACACCTCTCCACCACCTCCACCTCTTGCTCTTGGACCACTGACTCTGAGGGGAGCCTTGCTCTATCGTGGGGACACTCCCCAGCCCCTGGGCAGATCCACAAGAGGTTCCATGAGCAGTTGGCAAGCTGCTGAGGCCTCCAGGTGAGGGCTGCATAGGTCAGTTTGGAAGAGGAACCTGCAGTACCTGTCAAGGCCTTGGGTGGAAAATCCCAGGCCAGAACCAGCGAGCTGAGCTTCTGGACTTTTGGGTCACAAAAAAAGCTGTGAATATAAATGTTCGATGTTTTAAACTATTGAGTTTGGGAGTAATTTGTTGAACTATTAATCAATTTAAAAATTGCATTAGGGTTTTCCATTTTCTAACTTTTTTTTAATGCAAAATTGACTAGTTCTTAAACTATACTTTGAGTTCTTTTAAAGATATTTAATTTAATTCATGAAATTAAATAAGAATGTTAATATTAACTTTGTCTTGAACAAGACAAATGTATTAATCTTTGGGTTTTTTATTCTTTTTTTTCTATCGTTATTTATAGGAACTGGGGATTTAGGGCATATTTGTTCATTTTATTTCTTGGAAAATATTGAAGAGATTATTTATTTCAATGTATTCTTCTCCCTTGTATTTTATATGTAAAGGGAAGACTATGGGAATGGAATGTTTTTCATTGATAGAGATATTTTAACATATTCTAGACAAAAGAAGGCTTTAATGTTGCCTTCAAGAACCTTCTCACTTTTTTTTTTTAAAAAAATCTGCTTCTGTATGCCTCATACATCTGAGTATCTTTACCTTTTGCTAAATTAGGAAAATTCTCCTGGATTATTTCTGTGAGTAGCTTTTGTAGTTCATTTGTTTGTGTCCCTACTTCTTCTTTTATGTTCTTAATCCTTAAATTATGGATCCTCTTATCATCTTCTTGTCTTTGTATTATTGCTGTTTGTTTCTTTGTTATTTTTAAGAAGTTTTTCATTTCATTCTCCCATATTACAATTCTGCCCTCCAGTTCAGATAGTCTGTCCTTAGTTTCTTTCAAGCTGTTATGCCAGTCTTCGATAGACTTCTTAGTTTCTTGGTAGTCCCTTTGAACCTGCTTCACGTATTCTATGCTTTCCCTGTTTTCTCCATCAAACACTTCTCCCCTCTTTTTCTGTTCTTCCATTCCACCATCTGTTTTTTCTTGGATGGTGCTTAGCATTTCTCTAACTATTTTGCATACTTCTAGCTTCAGGTCGTTGATAACTTCATTCCTGAATTGGTCTATGAGGCTCTCTATATGGCGCCTTATGTGTAATGGTGCGGTGTCTGCTATTGCCTGTTTCTCAGAATTGGGGGCCAAGGAGCCTTTCTTGTTGCTGCCTCTTCCCATATTCTCTGTTCCTTATATATGCAAGCTTATATGAGAGGCCCAGCTTCTCTCTCTGTCAGCCACAGCCTGATCGAATTGCGCCGATTAGGTGTTCCCACACAGGACCCCAGCTACCTACAACCCAAACAGAGCAACACCCAGGCATATAATAATAAAAATTCCAGAAATTCAATACAAGAACAGAATATTAAAAGCTGTCAGAGACAAGAAACAGACCACTTACAAGGGAGCACCCATCAGAATTACAGCAGATTTCTCTGCACAAACCATTAAATCACGAAGAGCTTGGGGGGAAATAATTCAAGCTTTGAAAGATAATAATCTCCAGCCAAGATTGAGATATCCTGCACAACTGTCCCTGGAAATTGATGGAAAAACAAGGTGCTTCCAGGATAAAGAGGAACTGGGGGAATTTGCAACCACCAATTCAACTCTACAGAGAGTATTGCAGGATATTCTAAAAAAAGAAAAATACAAAGAATCCAGAAATAATGGAGGCCACAACGAATGGAGCAGAGAACAAAGTGAAGAAGACAAACTGACAGCTACTGACAGAATAAGAGCTCAACAGAAATGAGGCAGAGAAGATTGGATGATAGGAACAGCTATTTTGGAGAAAATGACATCTTAATAGGTAATACTGATTTAGTATCATCTTGTTTTGAAGTCTCATCTAGCTTTTGTCCTTCTGTCTCCAATGGTCCAAATAGGTTGTATCTTACTGGATTTTATTATGTACGATAGTATAAGCAAAAACCTTTTAAAGACAAGGAGATTATACAGAAACCATTGTTCATTTTCTGTTAGTCGATTCTAAATACTCTGTAATGCTGTCATTCTCTTAAATGGTTTTACATTGTTTTGATATACTTAACGCTACAGTATACGAAGTTGTACTCAAGGATTTCAAGGAAAGTGATAATATGGTAACTATTTTTAGGTCAGGATTATCTGGTGGTGAAACACTATTCTGCTTAAATGGTTATGTTTTGATCTGTGCTGTTTCGTTGTTATGCCCTCTTTTATCTCAATCTCCACTCCATTATTTACTTTTTTATTTTTATCCTTTTAATTAAAGGAAAAAAATAGCAGGATATATTATAGTAACCCACTTTGACTTTCCATTACCTCGATTTAAAGCCCTGTATTACTCTCACCATCTGGTTTTTAACTGATGTTCCCCTACTCTGTTTTGCTGGATAGTATCAGGTTCGAAAATTTAGGCATCAGCTGTGAAGATAATGAGATTCATTATAACGCCCATTCTCATTGACTTTTATCTATTTTTGAAGACCTACAATGTCTCCAATGTTTTGGCTTTGTCGGTTTTATTCTTTACTGTTTTGTTCAACTGTATTGTAACTAACGATATAGGCAATTCTATTAGAGATAGCGGGAGGCATTATGGTAACCATTGTTGATCACCTTGTATTATGTTTTCACATTATCTATTATGTCCACCCTTTTGACTTGACCGATTCTGTTCTGTTATGTCACATTTGGTTTTACTCTCTTCCAAAAAAGTAATAAGAACCATGGGAGCAATGAAACCCAAAATGTGTAATAGTCATTGTACAAAAGAGAGGAAAAGAAAGTGCTCTATACTATATAACTGCATGTATATTTAAGTGTATAAGATAGAAAATGATATCACAGAGTTTTATTGAATCATTGAACAGAACTGTTTGCAGTATCATTGATGGAATGTCCACTTTACAAGCTTTAATTTTGTGACTTGAACAATTATTTCTAAGATGACAATATGTAATCCATTAACTAGTAATTTCCTACTGTTCATTTTTTTTCTGTAAATCTGTATAACTTGTACCCTTTCTCTGCTTTTTTTTTCTTTTCTCCTTAAATAAAATTTAAAAAAAAAAAATCTGCTTCTAAAAATCCTCTTGATTCTTTGAATTGTCGGTACCCCACTCACCAGCGCCACTACTGTTTTCTCTTGGCTTTGACTGATTGGAGGTGGTGGGTCCTCTGTCACCAGTTGCTCTCAATTTTCTCCCTTTGAGTCCTATAAGTAATACTGTCCTCATATAAAGTTCACATTGACATTTCAGTTTTAGAAATAATTTCACACACACACACACACACACACACACACACACACATGCACAAGCAGAGGGCAAAATCAAATGAGTAGGCAGACTGTGATCTCATGAAGTTAGAGTCTTTTAACTCAGAAACTAGATAAAGCAGAAAGTCAACTCAAGTAGCATTTCCGTGCCCCCCCCCCCCCAGTATTGGGAATTGAGCAGGACTGCACCTGGAGCTACATGTCCAGTTCTTTTTCCTTCTTTGTTCTTTTTTTCTCTCTTTTTCCCTTTCCTTTTCTTTTCTTTCCTTCCCTTCTCTTTCTTTTCTTTTTTTCTGTTTTGAGACAGGAGTTTGCTAAATCTCTAAATTGCTCAGACTG